CTGGAGATCGCTCCCCAGAGGCGGGGGCAAGGCCTTACCCGGTATGCAGGACGGCATATCCGAGACCCTCCGAGGGGTGAGGTTGTCGTCAAATATAATAGAAGCTCTACGGGCCCAGTGAATGGCGCTAGTAAGAGGAGATTCCTCGACCACAGGTGGCAACAGCGCGACCAAGCCCCGGCCTAGCAGGCGAGTGGCTATAACAGTCGTTGGAACATCCTCCACAACAAACTCGGCAGCCACAGCTCCATAGGCAGGTACCGCACTACGAAGATATTCAAAGATATCCTTCGTAGAACACGTACTGAGGTAGGCCGGTGTGGGCAGGACGCCCAACTCCGATTCACGTTCTACCATACCGGAAGCAGTGACCGAAAGGTCTTTAGACGCCACAGATGCCAAGCTTCTAGCGAGCTCACTATAGTCATGCAAAGACCAGAGCCTCCAGAGCTCCACCCAATCATCGAAGTGCTTCCCAGCGAATACCCCATTCAAGTTGTCCTCAACCATCACACCGTCATCGTTGGCACTGCTTCTGCAGAACAGAATGGCCAACTGGACATCCTCGAGGTACCGTATGGCCACATTGGCAGCCGACCGGACATCACCAATAAGCAGGAAAATGGCTGCTGCCATTGAATGCCGTTTTTGCCGGATCAACTCGAAGGCGTTCTTAGACCCGATACGCTTATTTTCGGGTATAGTGAAGTCCATGGCCAGGAACTTGGCAACATTTAGGGTCTTAGGGTTGCTAGTGAGCTGCCCATGTTGCTTGTACAGGGACGCCAGGACGTTTTGCCGACCCAGTAAGGCCAACCACAGCGCACTCTCATCCTCAATGACCGACAGCTCCTTGGTCCTCCGGTACTTAGCAAGGGAGTTCTTCAATAGCAAGTTGAGTACAGTAGACCGTAGCAGGGTGAGAGACTGAGCCCAGAAGCCCACGCCCATTCGGCGGAAGAATGTACTCCAGAGCTCAGCGTCGATGTCGTCAGTGATAGGTGCGGCTCGAGTGACCAGCTGTAGCAGGAAGTCATGGGAGCGGCCAATTGACGCTAGGAAGCAGTCCTCAGTGTTCACCGCTATACCCAGGTCTATGCA